CTCTTCAGGACATCATCCAGGAAAATTTCCCCCACCTAGCAAGACAAGCCAACACTCAACTGCAGGAAATACAGAGAACACCACAAAGATATTCCGCAAGAAGAGCAACCCCAAGGCACATAATCGTCAGATTCAACAGGGTTGAAATAAAGGAGAGAATACTAAGGGCAGCCAGAGAGAAAGGTCGGGTCACCCACAAAGGGAAGCCCATCAGACTCACAGCAGATCTCTCGGCAGAAACACTACAAGCCAGAAGAGAGTGGGGGCCAATATTCAACATTCTTAAAGAAAAGAACTTTCAACCCAGAATTTCATATCCAGCCAAACTGAGCTTCAGAAGTGAAGGAAGAATAAAATCCTTTGCGAACAAGCAAGTACTCAGAGATTTTGTCACCACCAGGCCTGCTTTACAAGAGCTCCTAAAAGAGGCACTACACATAGAAAGGATCAATCAGTACCAGCCATTCCAAAATCACACTGAATGCTAAAGAGCTTCAACATAATGAAGAATCTACAACAACTAACAGGCAAAACAGCCACATAGCATCAAAATGGCAGTATCAAATTCACACATAACAATATTAACCCTAAATGTAAATGGACTAAATGCACCAATCAAAAGACACAGACTGGCAAATTGGATAAAAATCCAAAACCCATCAGTGTGCTGTATCCAGAAAACCCATCTCACATGCAAGGATACACAAAGGCTCAAAATAAAGGGATGGAGGAAGATTTACCAAGCTAATGGAAAGCAAAAAAAAGCAGGAGTTGCAATTCTCATCTCTGATAAAATAGACTTTAAAGCAACAAAGATCAAAAGAGACAAAGAAGGCCATTACATAATGGTAAAAGGATCGATACAACAAGAAGAGCTAACGATCCTAAACATATATGGACCCAACACAGGAGCACCCAGATACATAAGGCAAGTTCTTAATGACTTACAGAAGGACTTAGACTCCCACACAATAATAGTGGGAGACTTTAACACTCCACTGTCAATACTAGACAGATCAACCAGACAGAAAATCAACAAGGATACCCAGGGCTTGAACTCATACCTGGAGCAAGCAAACCTGGTGGACATTTACAGAACTCTCCACCCCAAATCCACAGAATACACATTCTTCTCAGCACCACATCACACCTACTCTAAAATTGACCACATAATTGGAAGTAAAGCACTGCTCAACAAATGCAAAACAACTGAAATCATAACAAACAGCCTCTCAGACCATAGTGCAATCAAGTTAGAACTCAGAATTCAGAAACCGACCCAGAACCGCACAGCTTCATGGAAACTGAACAACTGGCTCTTGAATGTTGACTGGGTAAACAACGAAATGAAGGCAGAAATAAAGAAGTTCTTCGAAACCAATGAGAATGAAGACACATCGTGCCAGAACCTCTGGGACACATTTAAAGCAGTCTCTAGAGGAAAGTATATAGCAATAAGTGCCCATATGAGGAGAATGGAGAGATCCAAAATTGACACCCTATCGTCAAAATTGAAAGAGCTAGAGGAGCAAGATCAAAAAAACTCAAAACCCAGCAGAAGACAAGAAATTACTAAGATCAGAGCTGAGCTGAAGGAGATTGAGACACGAAAAACCCTTCAAAAAATCAATAAATCCAAGAGCTGGTTTTTTGAAAAGATCAACAAAATAGACAGACCACTAGCCAGATTGATTAAAAAGAAAAGAGAGAACAACCAAATAGATGCAATAAAAAATGATAAAGGGGAAATCACCACAGATTCCACAGAAATTCAAACCATCATCAGAGAATATTACAAACAACTCTATGCACATAAACTAGTAAACCTGGAAGAAATGGATAAATTCCTGGACTCCTGTGTCCTCCCAAGCCTAAACCAGGAGGAAGCTGAAACTATGAATAGACCAATAACAAGGTCTGAAGTTGAGGCAGCAATTAAGAGCCTACCTCACAAAAAAAGCCCAGGTCCAGATGGGTTCACAGCCGAATTCTACCAGACACACAAGGAGGAGCTGGTACCATTCCTTCTAAAACTATTTCAAACAATCCAAAAAGAGGGAATCCTTCCCAAATCATTTTATGAGACCAACATCATCCTGATACCAAAACCCGGCAGAGACCCAACGAGAAAAGAAAACTTCAGGCCAATATCCATGATGAACATAGATGCAAAAATCTTCAATAAAATATTGGCAAGCCGATTGCAACAGCAAATCAAAAAACTTATTCATCATGATCAAGTAGGATTCATCCCAGGGATGCAAGGCTGGTTCAACATACGCAAGTCTATCAACGTAATTCACCACATAAACAGAACCAAAAACAAAAACCACATGATTATCTCAATTGACGCAGAGAAGGCATTTGACAAAATTCAACAGCCCTTTATGCTAAAAACCCTCAATAAACTAGGTATCGATGGAACGTATCTCAAAGTAATAAAAGCTATTTATGACAAACCAACAGCCAATATCATACTCAATGGGCAAAAACTGGAAGCATTCCCTTTGAAATCTGGTACTAGACAAGGATGCCCTCTCTCACCACTCCTATTCAATATAGTACTGGAAGTTCTAGCCAGAGCAATCAGGCAAGAAAAAGAAATAAAGGGTATTCAAATAGGAAAGGTGGAAGCCAAATTGTCTCTATTTGCAGACGACATGATAGTATACCTAGAAGACCCCATCGCCTCAGCCCAAAAACTCCTGAAACTGATAAACAACTTCAGCAAAGTCTCAGGATATAAAATCAATGTGCAAAAATCACAAGCATTCGTCTACACCAATAACAGACTTAAAGAAAGCCAAATCAAGAGCGAACTGCCATTCGCAATTGCTACAAAAAGAATAAAATACCTTGGAATACAACTCACAAGGAACGTAAGGGACCTCTTCAAGGAGAACTACAAACCACTGCTCAACGAAATCAGAGAGGACACAAACAGATGGAGAAACATTCCATGTTCATGGTTAGGAAGAATTAATATCGTGAAAATGGCTATACTGCCCAAAGTAATTTACAGAATCAACGCTATCCCCATCAAGCTACCATTGACTTTCTTCACAGAACTGGAAAAAACCACCATGAACTTCATATGGAACCAAAAGAGAGCCCGCATAGCCAAGTCAATTCTAAGCAAAAAGAACACAGCGGGGGGCATCACACTACCGGATTTCAAACTATACTACAAGGCTACAGTAATCAAAACAGCATGGTACTGGTACCAAAACAGAGATATAGACCAATGGAACAAAACAGAGGCACCGGAGGCAACACAACATACATACAACTATACAATCTTTGATAAACCTGACAAAAACAAGCAATGGGGCAAGGATTCCATGTTTAACAAATGGTGTTGGGAAAACTGGCTAGCCATGTGCAGAAAGCAGAAACTGGACCCCTTCCTGACACCTTACACTAAAATTAACTCCAGATGGATTAAAGACTTAAACATAAGACCTGGCACCATAAAAGCCCTAGAAGAAAATCTAGGCAAAACCATCCAGGACATAGGAGTAGGCAAGGACTTCATGAACAAAACACCAAGAACATTGGCAACAAAAGCCAAAATAGACAAATGGGACCTAATGAAACTCCACAGCTTCTGCACGGCAAAAGACACAGTCACTAGAGTGGATCGGCAACCAACAGAATGGGAAAAAATTTTCGCAGTCTACCCATCTGACAAAGGGCTGATATCCAGAATTTACAATCATCTCAAGCAGATTTGCAGGAAAAAAACAAACAAGCCCATTCAAAAGTGGGCAAAGGATATGAACAGATACTTTACGAAAGAAGACATATATGAGGCCAACAATCATATGAAAAAATGCTCATCGTCACTGGTCATCAGAGAGATGCAAATCAAAACCACATTGAGATACCATCTCACGCCAGTTAGAATGGCGATCATTAAAAAATCTGGAGACAACAGATGCTGGAGAGGATGTGGAGAAAAAGGAACACTTTTACACTGTTGGTGGGAGTGTAAATTAGTTCAACCATTGTGGAAGACAGTGTGGCGATTCCTCAAGGCCTTAGAAATAGAAATTCCATTTGACCCAGCAATCCCATTACTGGGTATATATCCAAAAGACTATAAATCGTTCTACTATAAGGACACATGTACACGAATGTTCATTGCAGGACTGTTTACAATAGCAAAGACCTGGAATCAACCCAAATGCCCACTGATAATAGACTGGATTGGAAAAATGTGGCACATATACACCATGGAATATTATGCAGCAATCAGAAATGATGAGTTCGTGTCGTTTGTAGGGACATGGATGAATCTGGAAAACATCATCCTCAGCAAACTGACACAAGAACAGAAAATGAAACACCGCATATTCTCACTCATAGGCGGGTGATGAAAAATGAGACCACATGGACACAGAAAGGGGAGTACTAAACACTGGGGTCTATTGGGGGGAAAAGGGGAGGGCCAGTGGGAGGGGGAGGTGGGGAGGGATAGCCTGGGGAGAAATGCCAAATGTGGGTGAAGGGGAGAAGAAAAGCAAAGCACACTGCCATGTGTGTACCTATGCAATTGTCTTGCATGGTCTGCTCATGTACCCCAAAACCTATAATCCAATAAAAAATTAAAAAAAAAAAAAAAAAAAATAAGAATAAAACCTATATTAAAACAGCTGAGCCCTGAGAGTTCAAATAAGAAAAAGATATCCCCTCGTGGTATTTTAAAATCAGAGCCATTTTAAGCAGCTGGCCAGGCAGTCAGCTACCTGAGCTACTTTCCAGAGGCAGGACAGCAGCATTAGAATAACTCACGAGTTTCGTGTGGGGCGATCCAGGATTCCCTACATGGCAGAATATAAACCTGCCCCACTTCCTGCGAATATTGGGCTGGTGCAAAAGTAACTGTGGTTTTGGACCATGAACTTTAAATCATTATAACTAGGCTCACACATATCTTTATTCATCAAAATAGGAGCCATAACAAACAACACATTTTTGCCAATGAGAAATACATTTCTTTATTCCTGTAGCTTAAAATTCCATGCTTCAGGATTCAGTGAACTCTTGGAAAGTATTTCTGCGTTCTGCTGGTTGTGAAAGTGTTTTCCCCGCAAAACGTGGTGAAGATGCTTGAAGAAGTGGTAGTCGGCTGGCAAGAGGTCGGGTGAATGTGGCGGATGAGGCAAAACTTCACAGCTCAATTCATTCAACTTTTGAAGCATTGGTTGTGTGATGTGCAGTTGGGCGTCGTCGGGGAGAATTGGGCCCTTTCTGTTGACCGATGCTGGCTGCAGGCGCTGCAGTTTTCTGTGCATCTCATTGCTTTGCTGAACATACTTCTCATCTGTAAGGGTTTTGCTAGGATTCAGAAAGCTGTCGTGGATCAGACCAGCAGCAGACCACCAAACAGTGGCCATGCCCTTTTTCTGGTGCAAGTTTGGCTTTGGGAAGTGCTTTAGAGATTCTTCTCGGCCCAACCACTGAGCTGGTCATCTCTCATTGTCATCTAAAATCCACTTTTTGAGCACATCACAATCCGATCAAGAAATGGTTCATTTTTGTTGCATACAATAAGAGAATATGACACTTCAAAATGATAATCCTCTTTTATTTTCACTCAGCTCACGAGGCACCCAATTATCAAGCTTTTTCATCTTTCCAATGTGCTCTAAATGCCAAACAACTGTAGAATGCTCAATGTTGACTTATTCGGCAACTCCTCGTGTGGTTGTAAGAGGATCAGCTTCAGTGATTTCTCTCAACTGGTCCTTGCCAACTTCTGATGGCCGGTCACTGAGCTCCTCATCTTCAAGGCTCTGGTCTCCTTTGAAGAACTTCTGGAACCACCACTGCGCTGTACGTTCGTTGGCAGTTCCTGGGCCACATGCAGTGTCAACATTGCAAGTTGTCTCTGCTTCTTTATGACCCATTTCAAACTCAAACAAGAAAATCGCTCGAATTTGCTTTTTGTGTGACATCATTTCCAAAGTCTAAAATAAACAGCAAGTAATAAATCATTGGCAAAAAACACAAAGAAACGCTCATTAAACTGATGTATAACATAACCACATTTATTTAAGAATGTATTCCATTATCAAACAGCAGATTCCAACAATGCAAAAACTGCAGTTACTTTTGCACACACCTAATCCATTCCCGTAGCAGACCTGCAGGTCAGTCCATAAGCACTGAGGCTGTTTGTCACATGCATCCGGTCACCACACAAGGAAACCACAGTCATGAAGACACCCTGAAGCCAGACAGCTGAAAAAGGCAAAAGACCTCAGAAATGTGAAAATCAATGCTATGGACAGAAAGTATGTGACTCACAAAATTCATATGTGGAAACCTAATCCCAATGTGATGGTATTTGTAGCTGGGCCCTTTGGGAGGTAATTTGGTCATGAGGATGAAGCCTTCATGTATGGGATTAGTGTTCTTATAAGGGACAGGAGAGCTTACTGGCTCTCTTTCCACCATGTGAAGATATAATAAGTCAGCAGTTTGCAACCTGAAGCAGGGCACTTGGTAGAACCTGACCCTGTGAGCACCCTGATCTCAGACTTCCAACCTCCAGAGCCATGAAACATAAATTTCTGTTGTCTATAAGCCCCCAGGCCATGCACAGTGTAAGAGCAGCTCAAACGGCCTAAGACAGTCAATTGTGCATAGCCTGGTGCTTTCAGTGAAGACCACGATTGATTTTTTTTCTATCTAAAATGTAAACCCTTTAGTATGACGATCGAGAAGTCTTCTGGTTCAGAGCAATTGCAGGAAAAGTGTCTCCAATGTTTTCTGGATTTACGACCTTAAAAAGGATATTCAAATTCAGAGTTTTAGCTTCTTCGACTATAAAGTAGAAATGCTAATTTTTTTTGCAAGGTTGCTGTGAAAATTAACAAAAAGGAATTTGAAGCACTAGGCAAATGACCGGTATTGTTATTGTTATCATTATTTATCTCTCTGTGGCCCATTTCTATACCAGGAAACGGCTTTCAGATTAGTGATCTGGCTTACAGAAACACTGATACCATGATGCAGAAGCACCTTGCATATCAGACCCTAATATTCACGTCTCTGCTGCAGATCAATTAATCAGCTCTCTGGTGCACACTGGAATCTTGTGAATTTGGTAAGCTGGTCAGTTCTGAAACACTAGTAAAACAAAACTTAAAGTGCTGTAAAGTTGAGGAAGATTCTACCGTGGGACTGCCATGCGGTGAGGTGCTTTCCAAGTAGCTGGCCGCCAGAGCTGTCCTGCCCTGATGGTTCTGGCACATGCTGCTGTTCTAACTGCAGCATGCACAGGATAGGAGAGGGAGAGCTTCAGGCAAAGCCGTTGTGCTCCCATCCCCCTCACAGTGCACAAAATACGTGGTGAGATCAAGTGAACAAATTATTATAATCGCCTGCCTTAAATACCTCTAAGAATTTGATTCTAGCATGAACTTGATGGGCATAGAGAGGACAGTGCATCACTATCTTTTTTATAAAAGGAAAACCTAAAACTTCCCACAAATAACACCTATAAACTCTAGATGAAATATAAAAGCAATTACTTGAAGGCAGTAAACAACAAACAAAGGCAGGAACATACTAGAAGGGGACGGACACATGGAAGACGTGGAGGCACTGGATGAGATTCTCATTTTTATGATTCTTAGCCTTGAGGAGAGGTCTCTAGCTATACCATGTGAGATGGCTAAACCCGGGAGTTAAAAACAATTTTTAGTCTTAGTAGCTTGAAGAAAAAGATAAACAAGATTGGGAAAAACCAGTAGTTGGAAAATAAGAAGGGAAATATCAGAAAGGAGAGAGCCAGAGAACCAAATTTTGCCCAAATCCCTTGACAACCTCTGACTCACACTTGCACAGCCCAGTTCCAGATGACAGCAAAACAAGGAATATAGCTTGCAGTTTGAGTTCATTAACTGCCTACATAAATGAAACATCAGTGTTCTTTGTGAGAGCATAACAGAACCCAGAATCTATGTAATTGACCATTTACAACATCCAGGACACATTCCAAACTTTTCTGATACACAAAGAAACAGGAAAATATGACCCGTACTTAAAAGACAATCACCAGATACTAACTCTAGATGAGCCAAAGGTTAGAATTCACAAAGATTTTAAAGCAGCTGCTATGACTATATTCTACAACACAAAAGAAGACATACCCGTAAGTGATGCAGAGAGAGAATATATTGGAAGCGAAATAGAAAACATAAAAGAAGAAGGGAATAGCAAATCTAGGACGGCAAGTATAATACCTGAAATTCAAAATTGAACAGATTGGAGATGTCATAATAAACAAGAAAATAAAACAGAAATCATCTCTCTGAAAAACAGGGAAAAAGACGTTTCTAAAAGAGAGCAGAACTTCAGGGAGCTATGAAACACCCAGATACAAACAGCATCTAGCAGCTCATCAATGTTGGTGCTCATAAGTAATTGTTCCAATGTGATCTGATAGTTAATGTCCCAAAGATGAGACTAATTCCTCATTCACTTCTACGTGTAAAAACTCTGAATGACCTTATTAGGTAGAGTGCAAGATACCCATAAATTTGAAGTTGTACTAAGAAATCAGGTCATAATGGCAGTATAAGCTTGGAAATCCAGAACATGTGAAAGTTAGAGAATATATCATTTCTTGGAAATACATAAAAAGAAAGGTCTGAGCCTTTCTCTGCTGGGTTCTAACCAAGAATCAGTTTCTTGAAGACTGTTTCCTGCAACCTCAGCTAGTCTGAGGAGGCGTTTTCTCTGTTGTTATTTTTCCTACTAGGTCTTGTAAAACTCTCTGCAGTCCTAAGGAATACAACCTCAGGAAGATATAATCAATCAATTTATCTATCCATCCATGGCACATTTGTAACTGGGATTAGTAAATGTAATCAGTTTGTAATTACCGCTATACTGCTGTGCATTTTTTCTGCCTTATAAAGTATGTGAAGCATTAGGTAGATTGGATTTGTAATTTTATTTGATGTTTAGAAGGATTTGATTAAGTTTGCAATCAATGCTTAAGCATTTGGGTAATTCATTTGTTCAATGTATAAATTTTGACTTATTCATTTCAGGGGTATGCAAATCCAAACCACATGTGATAGCAACTTCAACCTTCCTACCTCTACTTTAGCATGGCTATTACTCAAAAACAAAAAGTTAGAATTGCTGGAGAGAATATGGAGGAATTGGAACTTTTGTGCATTGCTGGTGAGAAACTGTGCTTCTTCAAAAAATGAAACCTAGAATAACCATACGATCCACTAATTACAATTCTAGGTATATATACAAAAAAGCAGGGACTCAAAGAGATATCTGTACACCAATGTACAGAATGTACAAAATGTAATTTTATTCAGCCTTAAAAAGAAATGAAATTTGATGCATGCTACACACGGATAAACCTTTAAAACATTATGCTAAGTGAAATAAGTCAGACACAAAAGAACACATGTTGCCCGATTACACTTACATGCGATACCTAGAACAGTCAAATTCATAGATACAGAAAGTAGAATGATGGTTACTAGGAGCTGAGGGGAGGGAGGACTGTAGAGTTATTAATTAACGGGTATATTATTAATGGATTATGGTAATAATTGCACAATGTGAATATACTTAATGCCCCTCACTTGTACATTTAAGACAAGTCAACGTGGTAAATTTTATACAGAATATATTTTACCACAATCTAAAAAAACCTTAAAAAGGATAATAGCATATGTCATTTGGCAACTACCACAGTAATAATTAATTCAGACAAGAATCATCAGTAGATGCTAATACTTGTGGATAAAAGCTTAACCAAGAACAGAAAGCACAGTATCAAAGTGTCTCCTTACAAGATAACAACTTATCAAGGACAAAATAGTGAATTTACAGTGAACAAGCCAGGCAGACACTCTTAACTAAGTGATCAAAGTGAGCCTCACTAGTAACAGAAGAAATGGACCTTGTGTTCCTCCTGACACGCTGCACTGAGAAGAACACAACAGGACTCCACCTCACTGGTACTTCTGCCAAAAAGCATGACCCAAATCTGATTAGGAGGAAATAATCAACAATTTATAAATCACAATAAGTAAAAAGAAAACCCTTACTCAACTGGCCTACTATAGCACAGGAAATTTCTTCCTTCGCTGTGAGATAGGATGACTCTAGGTTTATCTAATTTAGCATTTCATTTGTTTTTGTTTCTGTTCATTCTTCACTCTGCCATCCTTTGCCTGTCAGTTTAGCTCCCATGATTGCAAGATGGTGGCTGTGGTTCCCGTATTATGTCCAGGCATAATAATGAGCATGGGAGACAAGAAGATATTTTTCATATTTATCACTTTTAATCAGTGAAGAAAGTTTTCCTAAAAGGCCTCAAAGTAGGTACTAATGTGGTTTGGCTGTGTCACTACCCAATCTCATCTTGAACTCCCACAGGTGGGAGGGACCCAGTGGGAGGTAATTGAATTGTGGGAACATCTTTCCTGTGCTGTTCTCATGATAGTGAATACATCTCATGAGATGTGATGGTTTTTATAAGGGGGAGTTTTCCTGCACAAGCTCTCTCCTTTCCTGGTGCTATCCATGTAAAATGTGACTTGCTCCTCCTTGCCTTCTGCCATGATTGTGAGGCCTCCACAGCCACTTGGAACTGTAAGTCCGTTAAACCTCTTTCTTTTGTAAATCGTCTCAGATATGTCTTTACCAGCAGCATAGAAACAAAATAATACAGTAAATTGGTACCAGTACAGTGGGGCACTGCTGCAAAGATACATGAAAATGTGGAAGCAACTTTGGAACTGGGTAACATGCAGAAGTTGGAACAGTTTGAAGGGCTCAGAAGAAGACAGAAAAATGTGGGTAACTTTGGAACTCTCTGGAGACTTGTTAAATAGCTTTGACCAAAATGCTGAT